TGAAAATTAGTTACTGCTTTTTGAAACTTTTCCATTGAGGTGTTTTAAGAACAGGAAAGATTCAACAATAAGCTTCAGCTGGAAAAACAATAGAATTCAGCAAAATGAGAAAGGGGCAACTCGTACTATGCACTGTCACCCCATAGACCCCCAAAACAAGGTCTGGAGGAGTAGGAAACCCTGAAAACCAGGGTTTTGTTTGGAATGGATGCAGGAATGTAAAATACAGTTCCATAAATTCTAACTCTGGAATGCTGGGTTTAGCACAATATAATCAACCGTGTTGACCTATTGTTTTTCCAAAAGGTAGACATCATTGTTATGCAATCATAGATATATAAATAAACACTGAGATTTTTAAAACCAAGCTGTTTGTTCATAGTTTTCATAAATTTTAGGCATAACCTAGTTTCATACTTTTAACTATCTCTCTATTTTGCTCTATGATGCCAAAATGTCCACACTTAAAAAAAATATACACATATACTACATTCAGAAGCAGCTGCTTTGGGGACTCAATCGTTTAAAAAATGAATTTGTCTTTTCCTCTGTGTGCTCCCCATGTAATAAATTCACTGAAAACACAAACTTCATATATCAGAGAAAGATCTAGGACATGACAGCAGCTGACGTATGACCCAATTGTATGACTTTCTATGAGATGAGGCGGCCATGGAAAACCTTTCAGATATGCAGTTATGAAGTGTTCAATTCCTATTTGGGTTGTACATTTAAGATAGTTGTGTCCCTTAATACGATTATTTAACACTGGGAGATTATAACAGTCATGAAGGATGTCATGGTGATCTGAATAAATCTGATCACACACGGGCATTTTGAGTGGCTAGTGCAGCCAATTGCTCACATCTTTTCACATGAAGACCACTATCCAATTTGCTAAATTAAAGAAGAAAGATTGGGTCCATAACTTGTTTGTGAGCTTCCTCCTGGCATTTGGCTGATTAGGGTGAGGACAAAATAGTGGACTAGATAGGTCATTGGTCTGATCCATCACAGCTCCAGCAATGCTTTCTTTATGTACACAGTTGTAGTTGTTGTGTGCCTACAAGTTGCTTATGACTTATGGCAAGCCTTTTCTTAGTAAGATGACTGAGTGGGGATTCAGACCATGGTCTATAGAGTCATAGTCCAATGCTCAAACACCCACACTACACTGACTCTCTACAGTAAAATGAAAATTAGGGGAAAAACAAGTATAAAGGTGCATTTAATACATCATGTGCAAAGCAACTCTCCATTTTGATAGCTTCATGTCCTCATGGCAAGTTATCTCATTGGGTTCATGGATAGTGGCATCTGCTATCTAATCAGACATGTCTGATAACAGAGAAAGCCTCAATTTTCTCCATTTACTTATCTCTCCCAGCTATTTTGCTATCTTATTTGTTTATCTAAAATGTCAGTAGCTGCTATCAAAACCTTATCAGCCTTTCTTCCATCCATTCTGTTTGGAGGCTCATCCTGCAGCAGACCCATGAAACAAATAATTCTTTATCCCAGAGCAACTCACTGGAACACTGGTGCCCTCTTTGAGGAATAACTTCTCCACAAAAAAGAGGATTTTCTCCTCCTTTTCCTTTGTTTTTTTCTGTCTGATCCACCTTCTCCTTTGTGCACACAAAATGAAAAGTATTCATCAGAGGGACAGCTCGCTCTTCCCCCTGATCTCCAAAATGGTGTTTCTTCAGTTGTTCCCAGAGTTGTCCGGTTATTGAACTTCATGGACCTGCTGGGTTTGGAAAGTAAAAACACCATCCAAAACCAGCAGGGGTAGAGCTGTGTGGCTCAGAGATATGGCTTATGGAATGAAAACTGCTGGCTGGTTGCTATGAAACCGTGACACCAGGATAATTCCTTATTAACGTCAACTGGGCCTTTGACTGAAGTTCTTTGTAAGTCAAAAAGGATGGTAAAACTCTGAGACACAATGGTGACCACACCACAGGAGGCTTCAGGGAATAGGGAGGAGGTCAAGGAAGCAGCCTGACAGACAACTGATGAAAATGAAGACAAAATCTTTCATTTTGTGTGGTTTTTGCACCGCATGGGAGAAATGGTAACACTTAAAGCACTTTGAAAATAAAATTACAGAGTGACAAAACTAACTCTGTCATAGCTTCAGTTAGGTTCCCATGCAGTCACCAAGTCAAATTCATTGCTCTAAAATCAAATGAGTTCCAAATAAATTTCTTAATATAATTCTGATTTTCCAAAGGAATGGCTGTTAATTGACAAAGGAATGTGTAAAACGACTGTAAAAATCGGCAGCAATTTGAAGTAAGGTTCTCACTGATTGCTCTAGATTGGGATGGCAACCAATTGCACACACATACCCCCCCCCCCTTTTTAAAAAAAATGTAACTCAGTCTGGACCAATTGATCAAATGTTTGACACAAATAATTCAACCCTAGGTTCTTGTGGGTTTTTTCAGGCTATAGAGCCATGTTCTAGAGGCATTTCTCCTGACGTTTCGCCTGCATCTATGGCAAGCATCCTCAGAGGTAGTGAGGTCTGTTGGAATTAGGACAATGGGTTTATATATCTGTGGAATGGCTGGGGTGGGGCAAGGAGCTCTTCCCTGCTGCAGTTAGGTGTGAATGTTTAGCTGATCACCTTCATTAGCATTTGAAGGTCTGCCTGAGCCTGGGAAAATCTGTTCCTGGGAGGTGTTAATCTGTGCCTGGTTTTTTCCTCTCTGTTGTTTAGCTGTTATAATTTTAGAGTTTTTTAATACTGGTAGCCAGATTTTGTTCATTTTCATGGTCTCTTCCTTTCTGTTGAAATTGTCCACATGCTTGTGGATTTCAATGGCTTCTCTGTGTAGTCTGACATGGTGGTTGTTGGTGTGGTCCAGCATTTCTGTGTTCTCAAATAATATGCTGTGTCCAGGTTGGTTCATCAGGTGCTCTGCTATGGCTGACTTCTCTGGTTGAAGTAGTCTGCAGTGCCTTTCATGTTCCTTGATTCGTGTTTGGGCAATGCTGCGTTTGGTGGTCCCTATGTAGACTTGTCCACAGCTGCATGGTATACGGTAGACTCCTGCAGAGGTGAGAGGATCCCTCTTGTCCTTTGCTGAACGTAGCATTTGTTGGATTTTCTTGGTGGGTTTGTAGATTGTTTGTATGTTGTGTTTCCTCATCAGCTTCCCTATGCGGTCAGTGGTTCCCTTGATGTATGGCAGGAACACTTTTCCTCTGGGTGGATCTTCATCTTTACTCTCGTGGCTTGTTCTTGGTCTTGCAGCTCTTCTGATGTCTGAGGTGGAGTATCCATTGGCCTGGAGAGCCCAGTTGAGGTGGTTCAGTTCATCTTGGAGGAGGTGGGGTTCGCAGATTCTTTTTGCACGGTCTGCCAAGGCTTTAATGGTGCTTCTTTTTTGACTTGGGTGATGGTTGGAGTTTTTATGTAGATATCTATCTGTGTGTGTGGGTTTTCTGTAGACGGTGTGACCCAATTGTTGATCTGGTTTGCGGATGACTAGGACATCTAGAAAAGGCAGTCTTCCTTCATTTTCTTTTTCCATGGTGAACTGGATGTTTGTGTGGATGCTGTTAAGATGGTCCAGGAACCTGTTGAGTTCTTCTTCTCCATGGCTCCAATAGAACAAGCCACGAGAGTAAAGATGAAGATCCACCCAGAGGAAAAGTGTTGGATTTGCCATAACTCAGCTTCTCCTTCACTTTGCTCCTTCTTTGACCCTTTTTTACTCTTTTGTGTTGTACTGATTGAAGCAGTTCAACAGAAAAGGATAAAAGAAGCATCGCTTAATCCCAGCTCTCTATAGCCAGTGTGTTAATGTGTTAATATTGCACTATTGCACTTAATTCCTGTTGATATCAGAGGGGATGTAGCAAGGGTTAACATTTCTCACTGATTTCAACAGGACTTAGTGCTGCTTACTTTGGATCAAACATATTAGAACAACCTACTTGTACTTCTACGCATAACAGGTAAAGTAAACTGTGCTATTATAGCTGAATCTTACTTATAAAATGTAATATCCTATATCTCAGTTCAAACAAAACTTCCAGGATGGCTAAATGTGATAGAATCCATAAAAACAAAGATGACCATATGAAAGAAAAAAGGGAACGTGTAATTAAGAAGGTACTAAAAGGATGAATTTGGAAGATAAACTTACTGTGTTATTTAGGTAAAAAGGTTACTTAAATAGAGCGTTACCTCTAGAAAGGTCTTTCCCAAATTGCCACATGCCTTGACTCAAAAAGTGAAGTCATTCTGAGATTATAATTTCAGTATCTAGACTGGTTACATGGGAATGAATGGTCCCAAACAAGATAGGTCTTTGAATACTAAGATCCAATATCAGAACTTCTACTTGGGAGCAAATAGATAGCCCAGTGAAAATTCTTAAGACTGGGCTTGTTTTGTCCAGCAGGTTCCAGCCAACATCTATATACTAAAAGTTGAAGTATAAGCTCCTATCCAACACAATGTGGGTGTTTACTTTGGGATTTGCAAAAGTAGACTCTGAACTCTCCTTCAATACAAGTCTTTAAAAAGAGGTTGGACAGTCATTTCTCAGGAGTGCTTTAGCTGTGTTTTCCTACTTGACAGCAGGCTGGCCTAAATGGCCCTTGGTGTTCCTTCCAACTATATGGAAAGATGTGATTTTCCTGTAAAAATAGTAACACCAGCTATATATTATGTGACTTATGGAACAGCAACCTCATGAATTAGGAGACCACAACAGCATACACTGTACTCTGCAATGTCTTCCATTGTTTTTATATCTTCAGATATGAGTGTGGCCACCAAGAATTCTCCTTGTTTTAAAACACCAAAAACATAGTATTCTTTTTATACCAGTTTACCATACAATGTTCTTTGTACCCTTTTTCAGGAAACAAAGCAAGAGTTAGTGAGTGCCATATTCAAAAATATTGTGTAGGTCGGCCTGGAGATTGAAATAATTTCTTCTTCATTCAGTGTTGCAGAGATATTTGAGTCTTCTTACCTCTGATACTGAGCAGTTGAGTTGGAATATCTGTCCCTCTCCTTCAACTTGTCGTATGCAAAGCTTGCACACCAGCTCTAATGTGCTCAGGCTGAATCTTTCCAGAGTGAAGGTACAATGCAGATTTCTTTGACACCCACTCCAAATATGGTAAAAAGGAATTTCCTGGAGAAAAGTGATAGCATTTTAAAATAGATATACATCCCTATACATCCCAGTTACCAACATATTTCCAGCAAGTCTCAGCAGGTAATAGCCCCCAAGTCACTAAGTAAATGTAACTAGTGATAAAATAGTGCTGATTAACACATATATAATGTGTAACTATATACTGTTTCATGGCCTTATGTTTAGGGGGTTAAAAAGGATAGGGGATGCTGAATATTTCTTGTCCTTTATTCTTGCAAGCTTCCATTGTGCTTCAGTTGATATTTAGGGCTGTTGCCAAGTTTTACCTGGTATTTTGCCAGTAGTTTGCTCTTCCAGAGGGAGTGGGTGATGTCATGAATGGATAAACGGAGGTTATGAGTGCTTCCCTTAAAATGCAAAGCCTTTGGTTCTTCAAGGAGTTGTCCACCCATTTGCCTCTCCAACTGTAGTACTTCCTGAGTGTAAGAGGAAAAACATAATGCATTGAATGTAAATGCATACAATATGTGGAAATAAATTTCCCCATTTTTTCCTTGTAAGAACCCAAGTTATTAAATTTTAATTTTCTTTAATTTATTTTATTTTCTCCCAACTTGGACCCAAAGTAACTTACAACCAGGTTAATATAAGGTAGAGTTAAACCTAGCAATAAGAAGGTTAACATACTCTTAAGCAACCCACAGTAGTAAAGTATGTTATAATCAGAATGTATACAATAAGCTTCAAAGCTGAAAGGGTTTTGCATACAAGTCTGATAACCATGTTTAAACCAGTGTCCACTGCACTGTGGTAGCACTCCATATAAATCTAGCAATTTACTCTTAAATGGTCCATGAATTGAGCTGTCTGCTATTAAACACATACTTGAAAAACAGCTATTAAACAACAGCATTACAGGAAGGACATCTGTTCTACAGCCCTATTCCAGAGGAAGGACACAAAGAAAAATCTGTTTCAATACAGAGGAGGATGGGCACAATTGTGTTGTCAATGGAACAAGTAGTATTATATAATAGACTGGTGTACTGCTATGGAGTTTGCTTAATTGCTTGAGAGACTCCAGGTCAAAGCCCCTGCACCCGATCATTGACAATGTGTCATGCTGGATACTGTTCAGCTTGTGGGGTCTTCCAGGAATTCTTAGTCTTTGACTTCAAGATAGTTAAACTCATGAAGTTGTCACAAAGTTCATTTGTACGTGCCCTTTATTTAAATGATGTCAGAAGTTCGTCTCATGCTGTTTTTGCTTTCCAATTACTGGTAATTAGAAATTGTTTTTATGGGCAGAAATTAGACCCTATAAAAGCATCCCAAAGAGTGAATGCATTATAAATAAGGAAGCAGAATTTGGACATAGATGGAACATGTTTCTTTAGAAAGGATATGCTTTAATGGGATTTTAAAAGAAATACATGTAAATGCCAGGTGGTCTTAGCAGTCTCACATATATCCTGAGGATTTTAAAAAAAGATAACACCAAGTATGGTGTAAAGCAGGCCTCTATAACATATGCCCTGTAGGCTGGATTGTGGCCCACAAAGGCCTTCCCTGTGGCCTACAGGCGAGTTCAGGATGTTTCCCAGCCTCGCACCGCTTTACTGGGAATGATGCAAGGCTGGGGAGGGATGGGGCATCCCCCTCAGTGCTTGACCCTGAACAGGCAGACATGCCAAGAGTTGAGGGCGAAGCACTAAGGAGAAACTCAGCCCCCTCCCCAGCTTCACAATGTTCCCATGGGAGGGAACAATGTTCCACAATGTTCCCACAAGGATGGGGAAGGGGTGAGGCTTCCCCATCAGCAGGAAGGGAAGCCCTCCTGGTTTTCAGGAAAAAAAAAATTAAAATCATGGTTTTGGGACCAGGCCTTCGAGCAGCAGACACAATTTGCACCTTAGTGGACACTGACTGGAATGGCGTTGCGGCAGATGACATTGTGATTTTGTTTTATTGTTTTAATTAATGCTATATGTCCTGGTTTTAACGACTGTTTATATATTTGATTGTGATTATATTGTTGTAATTGAGATGTAGTGGCCTTGCACCGTTACTAATGTAAGCCGTCGTGAGTCCCCCTTTGGGGGTAGAGAAGAGACAGGGTACAAATAACAGAAATAATAATAATTGTAATAATAATAATAATAATAATAAGAAGAAGAAGAAGAAGAAGAAGAAGAAGAAGAAGAAGAAGAAGAGGGGTGGCCCGCTGAAAGGCTTTGGGGAAAATCTTGGCCCTTCTAAAGAATCAAGTTGTGCAGGCTTGATGCAAAGAGACAAAATCTGGCAGATGGCTACTACATAGTGCCTTTTCAGTGTTGGCACTCTCTTCATACAACACCCTTCATTGGTGGTTCATCTGGCATTTAGCTTAAAGTCTTTTAGCTAAGATCTAAAGACTGGTTTATTTTACGAACATTACAGGTTGTTCTCTCTTAAGTACTTTTTAGATCTACTGTGATAATGTTAAAGTTTATTCTTGGTTTAAGTGTGCCACTGTTTGTTATTTCCAAGTTAATTTGCATTGTTTAATATTATATGTGTTAACTGTCCTGAAACACCCATTCATATTAATCACATACTATACTGGTAACATCCATATAACACCACAATCAACCACATATACTATTGGTATGCTATTACGAATGCCCACAGACTAACAAATTGGAATAGGAGCAGGTTATTTTAGGAAACATGCACCTCCCTATGAACCTCTTCATTCCTAGAATTAGCCACACAGGTTTAGGATGTTGAATTCATTATGGTCTTACGCCAGAGGTGTTTGGGGTGGCCTCATCCTTTTGGAAAGTGCTACTTTTTGGATGCCTTGGCTAGTGCCATGGGCTCCCTAGAACTACTCTAAGGCAATAGCTGATAGCCTAAATGGATTTCACTTTGAAAAAAGGTACATGCATAGGTATGTAAAAACAGTCACTCGGTATAGGAACACACAAAGAAAGAAAGCAAATATCTGAATTCTAATCATGGTGGTGCTTTTGCTTCAGCAGTGACCCACAGGAGCATCACACTATCCATGTTCATTGCTTATTTAGCCTAAGTGAGGAAGTTAGTGTTTCTCCAAGTAACCTGACATCTGACAAGATCTAAAACTAACATGGTGTCTGCTTTTACACTGTTAGGAGGAAAAGAACATAATTAGAAAGCTTTTAGAATTAAGGTTCTGCCAGTCAATCAGTACGGCATCTTCCATGTACATCTTAATTACCTCATGAAGATGCCTATAAAGCAAGTCAATAGCAATTATTTGATGACTATCAGTGTTAATTATGCCCAAATTATCTGCCAGGGTTGTCTAAACTAAAATTTGTTACATTCCCTTGCATCAGCATACCGATATATATCCTGCACAGATTGTATTCATGCCCATCAGCATCGAGTTTCACTTATATATAATATTTATGATCTTGTTTGTTATGCTGCTACCACAATTTATCATTTATATGGCATTTTAGAGCATTAAATCGATTCACATGCATTGTCTCAGTAACACTAACAACTTCTCTTAATGGTGTGATGTTACTTTTGCTCCTCTATTGAAGAGGAAGGCTGGGGTTGGGAAGTAGTTTGCATGCTTAAGAATACTTTGCAAATTAATTGGCTGTCTAAAAATTTAACAAAGGAGTTCTCAGCTTGAGGAATTTGACCTTTAAGAACTCCAGTATGAGAAGATCCAATCTATCTCTAATGCGCAGACTGAAACTTAAATATTCATATTTCTTTTACACTTTCCTAAATACTGTGTCATAGTTCTCAGAAACATATCAAATATGTGTGTTTTGATATAATATTGATATTTAAATAAAAAAACAATTCCTTGAGTTTTTAAAGGAATTTTCCATACTTATTTAAATATTTATTTTGCATAGTTTTGTTTACATCATGCAGATGCATGTGAAATTTGAAGGGAATTATGAAAAACTTGAAAAACATGAATTTCATGTTTATACTGTGTATATATATGTAAATATAGGTATTTCCATAAACTTGAAAAACATTAATTTCATGTTTAAACTGTGTATATATATGCAAATTCAGATATTATCAAATCCCCCAAAAATCTGAAAACCAAAATACTTCTGATACAAAGCACTTTGGATATAGCATAACATTAACAGTCCAATCAACATATTATGAAACAGTTTTCAAAAAGCTGGTGGTTTCAATGTTAGTGAAGTATTTTAGTCAAAACTTTACAGGATCTGTACAAGATGGCCCAACTTGTTCTGAGGATGGAGTCTGCTGACATGAAAGCTATCTGCCACTACTGAGTATCCTGGACAACCACTCTCTCTCTCACACACACACACCGCACAATGCATTATATTTAATTTGATATAATTTGAATATTCTCAGAATTTGGATATGGGCTAGAGCTGATATGCCAGTCTAAATTGATGAAACATGTCAACCACCTTATCACACTGAGAAATTTCCCAGTTGTAGGACACTTCAGCCCCTTTTCAAGCATGGAGAGGTATGGAACTCATCACATGTTCCAGGGTAGCAAAGAGGCAGAAATGTCCTGAAAAGAGGGAACTCTGAACAAGGGCCAGCAATTGTGTTCAGAACTCCTATCTCTTATTGCCCTCTACTCTCATGTTTACAACTGAAAAACAGATGGGATGGGAACCATCAGAAGTTTCTCATCCTATTTCATTGCCCAACGGTCAGCAATCTCTTGTATCCTATGAGATTTGATGCACAACAATATGATCCCATGGAAAGAAATGGTTTTATTTATTTATTTATTTATTTATTTCAGTTACTTCTACCCCGCCCTTCTCACCCCCCCGGGGGGGGGGGGGGGACTCAGGGCGGCTTACAAAAGAAGGCACAATTCGATGCCTATATCAAATATGCATACATACATAAAAGCACTTAAAACAGTTGACAAATTAAAATCATCAATACAAACAACACAATGACACAATAGTAAATTATGTAATAGTAATAGTAAATTTATCTGGATCACTGTCTCTTGTATCCTATGGGGTTTGATGCAGAACCATATGATCCCATGGAAAGAAATTGTTTTAACCTGGGTCACCATATCTTGTATCCTTTGGGACTGGCTGCAGAACTGTAGGATCCCATAGAAAGAAATGGTTTTAACCTGGGTCACCATATCTTGTATCCTTTGGGACTGGCTGCAGAACTGTAGGATCCCATAGAAAGAAATGGTTTTAACCTCTCATCACTGTCTCTTGTATCCTATGGGGTTGGATGCAGAACTATAGGATCCCATGGAAAGGATTGGGTTTAACCTGGATCACTGTTTCTTGTACTTGTATCTCATGGGGTTTTCTGCAGAACCATAGGATCCCATGGAAATAAGTGATTTTGCATTGGTCTCTTTTAATGGAAGGGGATTTGGGCAGGGCAAGAGATCTCTTGGTTTTTTTTATATTGTTTCTCCTGATTTTTTTAAAAAAGTAACACTAATGTTGTGATGAATGTAAGATGAATGTATTGCCAGCTCTTACATTTCCATGTCTGAGTGTGATGAGGAGGCAGAACTTGAAATGGGACTGCTGGTGAGGTAAGAGGGATGATTATCTACCTTAAAGGGACAGTCACCCATTCTTTCCCCCTTAATGTGATGAGGTGGCTAGATGCAATTTATGTAACTATCCAAAAGGGGAGAATCTAACAGCTTGCCCAATCTGTCAATGTAAGATACTCCCATTATGAAATCAGAAGACTAACCAAAATATGGATTTGAACAGCTCATACTTACATTAGTTCAGTGGTAACTTTTGAAATGCAACAGTTCTACATGATTGTTCCAGTGCTGTCCCAAAGGAGAGTCAAAAGTTGGGACAGCAACATTAGTGGTAGAGAACTGTAGCCCTCCTAGTATTTTTGGCTTAACAGATACCAGCAACACCAGCCAGCATAATAACTGGTGAGGAATTATGGATTGAAACAACTCTTGATTATTTTAAATAATCTAAAGTTCATGGCAGCCCACCCTAGTTTTGTATAGTTTTGTTGGTTTTCATCTGCAACAGGAACATGTATTTTTAAAATATTAACAAATCTTAACTGACCCTTCAAGACTAAGGGTGTACCTACATTGTAGAATGAATGCAGTTTGACACCACTTTAATTACCATAGCTCAATGCTATGGAATAATGGGAATTGTAGTTTGGGGAGGTACCAGCACTCTTTGGCACAGAAGGCTAAAGACCCCATGACACTACAACACCAAGGCATTGAGCCATTGGCAATAATGGCAAACTGTATTAATTCTGCAGTATAGATACACCCTACATCACTCCATTATAATCTGGATTGCAACATTCCATATATTGCTGCTGACCCTCTCATATTAATGTGAGAATTACAGCTAAGTTAAGAGGCAACATGGAACCAGAGATGTGTGGCATATTCTTGCTAATCAAAAAGTCTAGTTCAATCCTCTGAGTGCTGCATCAGCATAACCACTGTATACCTATAACCATGTATCTCTCTCATTCATTTTTGTTGGGATTTATGAATCTAAGGCTAAGTTTTCTGTGAACGTCAGGCATATCTGTTTCAGCATCTTTAAAACACACAGGTTATCAGTTTTAGGAAATTTCCAGATGGAACATTCTTCTGAGAGTACACTGTGTTGATTCAGAACACCCAGAAGGCCTGAATCCCACCAAGCAGTGTTGGCAATCCCCTGCTGTTAACTGTTAGGCCAAATGGCAGACCAAAATCTAGTCAAATTAGCATTGGATGCACCATTTAATAGAGTAGCCAACCATCACTGCAGCTGGCATCTCTTTCCCTACTTTCAGATAATGCTATGCTACTAAAATCCAACATGGAGGGTAATGACTTCCTGGAAACATTGTCAGGTATGGGGGCAGAGTGGATGCCTCTTCAGTCATATATGTTACATTATATTACTAATTTGGGTTCTACTTATGAATTACTGAGTAGACCCATTGTATTACAGGACTTGACTAGTCCAATATGGTCCAATGGGACCAATGTTTATATAGTTCAGAGTTTGCAAAAGTTATTTTTGTTATGTTGTTTTGGTTTTTTTTTTTGTTCAGGTGCCATGCTAGCTGGAAAATCTGGGAGCTGCAATCTTAGGTTCTCACCCTACACCGCAGATAAACAAAGAGGGAATGAAAAAACTTAAAATGTCTTTGTGCAATACTGCAATACAGGGACTGAGCAAACACAGGTAAGTATCTCAATTTCTAATTTTAAAACTTGGCTTTTGATGGACCTATGACATTCAAGACTCTTACAGCTTTCTGTGTATGTCAATAGGACAGATGCCTCTATTACTAATTCTCAAATGTTTACTTGTGTGAGAAAATTCCTGGGGAGAATGAGACGACACCTACACAGATTATGAAGACCAAGATGGGCAGATAGGAAAATATAATTTATCCTTGGGAGATTCAGACCTTGACATTGCTTAGAACTTAATCCCCTTTTAATGAGTTTGGGATGCAAGCAATAATATTCTGATGAATAAAATGCAGTAATTTTCTAGCAGAAGCTGTCAAGACATTGCCCCAAATAAACCCTGTGCAGAGCACAAAGGCTTTGTTGGCTTGCATTCTCTGCCTGGAAGCAAAGAATGGGTTTTTCCTTCAGAAAGTATGAGTTAATATAACACAAACAGCACAAAACTGGTTTAATTCCTTCCACTCTTTGCCACTGCTAAAATAGGCTTTGCAGGTTTTTGGTGGACCACAAAAACCTGCAAAATTGGTTTACTTGCATATACATGCATCATATAACAGTGATTATTTTATATCACCTCCCACCTTGCTTTAACAACCTATATAGCTTACATTCAGTCTGTTCTTTTGAACATTTCTTCACTCTGTGTACATTTTTAATGACTGCAGAATTAGGTTTCTGGTATCTTTGACACAGAATATATAATGTTCCGGGAGGCACAGTGCCAAACAGCATTTAGAAAGGAAATGAACTTGAAATGCACTAAGAAATGCAAACTTCTTCTAGACAGAGTTTATGGATATGTTATGTAAACCTCTTTGCAGTAACCCAGTCTAAAGGCAATTTGCAAGTTAAGAATCAGATACTAGAAATATAGCCCAAAGCCTGATGTTGGGGAGCTAAGCCTCATAACACCAAGATACCACCTATGAAAGAACTATATTTGATCACTGGTTTATGGATTATTCTGCTGGACACAAGTAGCATCTGTTTTTACAAAAAAAATTACTCATGGAGTTACTAGGTGATGCATATATTACAATATCCTAATCCATAAGGTATGTGCATAATTAAATATGCATAACAGAATCATGTCTGTCAATACTGAAAGCAACAACTGTGGTTCATTTCCATTGCAAATTGTCAGTGCAAAAACTGCAGACAAAGTCATCTAACAAAGCAATATAGCAGCAGGCGCTTGATTAACAACCCCGGAGCTTATTTTATCATTATCAACTATTTGCAAAGAGGCATTTATATGTTTTGCATCTCTGGTGACCTGGCATGAAGCATTAAAAATACATGAATCACCAATGAAATTCTTGCACACCTTATGGCCTTTTAATAATGCAGAAATATTGGAATCAAGGTTATGATGTAGGTAAAAGAGAAAAAAAGGAACACCAGAAAAAGAATTAGCCTACTGTGCATAGCAAGTAAAGCAAATTATGTAAATATTTAGCTCAACCTTCTCTTCTTCCCGCCTCATTATAAAAGAGTATACAGTATGTCCATCCTAACTCAACACAAAGTCTAAAAATATACAATACAAGCCATGTTTTGTTTTAAAAAAAAGTGTAAGAAAGGAAAGAGATAACAGATTTTAAAGAAAAAAATATAAATTACCTTAAGAGCATCCTGGGTGTCATCTAGACAGTAGACACGGATGTTATATTCCAAAGATGAGCAGATCAGTGGCCCAAAGATGGCCAGCTTAAGACGCTTTGCAGCTGCTTTGGTGATTGATTGCCCGACCAAGGCGTAGGTGCTAAGAGTTTCTGTCAGGATATGGCAGGCCTCTGGATCCAACTGGATGTAGCATGGGGTAGTGAAGTTTTCTTCTCCAACTACTACCACATCCTAAAATGGGGGTGGGCAGGGGTTTAGGAGTCAACAACATAGGGCAATGTTAGTGTTTGGAACCAGCCAGGTTTTAGGTTTTAATTATTCCCTGATCAAAGATGATACAGTGGTGGGCATTTCAGAAAGCAGATGGTAGAAAGGACAGTATATGAGACTAGTCAGAGGCATCACCATCGGGTTTACTTTATCTTCTTATTGAAAACATATTTGTGGTGAACCTATCATTGCAAAATTCAAGTTCAATAAATGTATTGCTTTTCAAGACAAAGTTTACATTAAAGTTGGGAATCATTTGGCTCTCCATTTCTCACTATTGTCTATGTTGATTTTTGGGAAGTTTGGTGTTGCAGACTAACCGTATCTGAAGAGATACATAATATCTATGTCTGGATTGAAGGGGAAAGTGCAAAGGCATATTTTCAGTGTAGGACTTTGCGAATGAAGTGTTGTCCATTTTATTCACAAAGGCCTTTTAGAAGAGTTTCCCAGGTCATTACCCTACTTTTTGTTCACTTAGGATGGCTTCATCATGCTACTATATAATTATTCATCTTTTTCAAAATAACCTTTAAATTGATTTATTTATTTGCTTACTCTATTTGTATCCTGCCTTAATCTACTCCAAAAGGGACTCAAGGTGGCTTTACATATGGCAATTATTCAATGCCTTTGAACAACAAACAGTTAAAATACATTAAGTTAAAGATTTAAAATTAAAATTAAATGCACATTACAATCACTATTAAAAATCAGGCCATCCACAATTGTAATCCAGGGCCATTACAAAAGTCCATAGCTATTATTACACTGTAGTTAATCTCCAAAAGCTTGACCCCAGAGCCAGGTTTTCACTTTTCAAATCCTCTGTATTTATAAAATAAAAAATGAACAAAAATCAAGAGCATGATCCGAATCCTCGTGTATTCATTCACGGAGCTCCCTTTGTTTCCCACAAGGACATTGATCTGCACATTTGGGAAGATGTTCTGCTCTTGGTGCTACATGAAGTATATCACTGTGATATACTTCTATATCACAGTGAAAGAGTTGCAATTCCAACCAATAATCTTTGTTCCCACATGACTGTTTCAATATTTACCATAAAAAGGAATGTAAGCATGAAAGCTATAGGTTAAGCTGATTAATGTTCTGCTAAAAGCATAATATACTAATACAAATAAATTATTGTTAATGGCTATATTTTTTTGTTTAATGTTGCATACATACAAAGGATGTCTTGCATATCTGGCAAAAAAGAACTGAACAGTGCACCATTTCTTATTCTAAATGTCATTTTTGTAAAACACAAAGCCCTGATGAATTCATGAAAAAACTTCTCTCCGTTGCCTCCAAGTAAGAAAGTTGGCAATACTAATGATATGAATTAACTACTGGATTTAATACATTCCTAGCATGGGAACATATTCAAGACTCTTAGCCGAGGTCAGGGTGATGTTGCACATTGCAAAGGTAGCACCATCTTTCCTAAGGGGCAGGGAGAAAGGTATTATCTGCAATGCTGCTTCCACCAACCCCTGCTGTCCAAACCCTGAAGCATTTGTGCTGGCACTCATAAGATTGATTTGCCTCCAGCAATGCAAACATCTGTTCAATGAAGGGAAAGAAGCATAGTGATCTGTTCCAAAATGAAATGAGAGGATAAACAGAAGGATCAAGAAGAAGTTTGGTGAACTTCTGCAAACTACATGCATAATGCCAGAAACCAATTTAGGACCTGCACTGTTCTGTGAATATGCCTATTAAGGACTGCAACCAAGAGAATCCCACAAACAATATGACTACAATATTTGGAACCCCTTCCATACACCTCCTATATTACAAAATCTAATACCATATCATCTGCTGATCCCAGATTATCTGGGAGTGGAGGGATATATAATCCCGTTTAAAGCAGATAACCTGGGATTAGATCCTGGGATATAGGGTAGCGAAGTAGGGGCCTGATTTGTGCCCAAAAACAGTAAAATGAAACAACTACATTAAATAATGGCTTTTCCTATCTTCTATGGGTTAGCTAGACAGTAAACTCCCTGTTGCCATCAGGAAACCAAAAGTAAGGACCCACGGTAAACATCTTCAAAAGGAGGAATCAGTGGATCCAAGTTTAACTTTATCAACAGGCTTTAAGAAAGACTAGAAATGCTGCATACAAACTAGTACAGCAGAAATCATGAACTTGCATAATTGAACTTTGCATAAAATAGCTATCTGGACAAGGGATGGTGCCAGACTTCAGGACACCCTCAGATTCTGATGTTGTTACTCTACCTGCACTAGCCAGAAAATGAAAATAACCTTGAGAACTAGTGTATGACGACACCAAAGAAAGTCTTCTTATCAAAGAAGAAAAACAAATCAAAACACAGATGATTCCTGCAAAACATAGATGATTCCAAGATGTAGGTGTAGTACAACCATCCCTCCACATTTGCGGATTTAACAGTTGCAGAATGTATTATTCATGGATTTAATTAATAAAACTTCTCTAGGTTGTCCAGCACAACTTTGTGGCCAACTTTAATTCAAACTTTGATTGGAGGAGGTAGCAATTCCTAGAGAGGTGTTCTACCAGGGTAGAAAAAAACCCAACATTTAAAAAAATCATATTTTTTTCATTTGCATGGGAGTCCTGTGCCCCTAACCTCAGTGAATTATAGGGCTAGCTGTACAAGTTTATATGAAAACAATCTAGTACACTATTCATTACAAAACAAACCTAGTTAGATGAATTTGAGAATAATTAAGTGGGTGAATGTGTTCCAGTTCACTAATTTCCAGAGCTATTCATGTCCTAAACTAGATTGCAGAATACCTGGAAGGGTATTTTTCATTCTAGTTTTATGATATGAATTGCTCTGTCCTAACCTGTCTTAGCTGTGAGATGTATGTTCAGTGGTAGGTATGAGTAAACTTATCACTAAATAGCTGCAAGTATTTCCACACTCAGCACCCTTCCACACAGCTGTATAAAATCCATACTGAACCGTATTATATGGCAGTGTGGAGTCAGATAATCCAGTTCAAAGCAAATGTTGTGGATTATCTGCTTTGATATTCTGGGTTATATGGCTGTGTGGAAGGGCCTTCAGAGTATAGTCAAAATACTATTGTTCCTCTTTAGCTTGTATTGCCAATTTCTGGCATGTTTAGATGTCTCTTAAGTGGCCTCTTTTAATTTTTTTTTACTTTCAATGCTGTTTTATAATGTATTGTTGAAGGCTTTCACGGCTGGAATCACTGGGTTGTTGTAGGTTTTTTCGGGCTATATGGCCATGGTCTAGAGGCATTCTCTGAGGATGCTTGCCATAGATGCAGGTGAAACGTCAGGAGAGAATGCCTCTAGACCATGGCCATATAGCCCGAAAAAACCTACAACAACCCATCTATTTTATAATTTTGATAATTAACTAAAAAGTCCTATTCTTCCAGCTAATCTATTACAGTGAAGATCTGTAGTCTTACCTCCCATTGCCCCTGGGCTGTTTGGTTCTTCAGCTGGATCTTCCAGTCTTCAGTGTTTGGTTCTGCACAATGGTGCATTGTTAGAATGACAGGCCGAGTCAGCAGTGCTCCTGGAGGTCCACAGCTTACTACAGGCGTCAAAAGGGTTTGACTGTCTTCCACTGGGGGCCTGGCAGGGTTATAGGACAGAAAATCCATATGCATCAGATTATAATAAGGACTTTTATACAGATGAAATACATGGTTATTGCAATCAATGGAAAGTTTGGTACTAAAGTAAGACCTCTTATCTACAGGGGATATGTTCCTGACTGGGCTGAAACTGTGGATATGGCTGAACACCATTACATTACTTGACTTCTCCCAGCATACTGCACAGTTGAATTAGAAGACCCAGAGATTACTAGAGAGAATCTAAGAATTTGCTAGTCCTCCACTTCAATACTACGGTAAAATTCAAGTGAATGGAATTGCTTGGAGGATTTAATGAATTCCTTGGGAGACCATTTTCCCTTGAGCCCAGATAAGAGAATCTATGGACATGCTGCTGATCTTGTCAAACAAGGAAGAGCAGGCTGATGGCTTCATGATGCATGGTTTTTTTCTTTATTGACACCTCCATTATGGAACTCTTTTCCAAAGAAAGTAATGTGGAATGTGAGGAAAGCATCAAAAGTATTTTTTACTGTTTGCAAAGTTTCCTTTTTTATTTGTGTCCCATGTTTTTTATAGAGGAGCCTTCATAGAGCTTAAGGACTTGTTTCTTTGTCACAAAGTTGCTCTACTGATTACATTAGGGATATTCTCATAGACATGAAGGAATAATTGTCCCACTGCTAAAATAATCATCCAAAAGGACTATTCACAGTTTGCACTTATCTAGTGCACAATTAATTTCTGCAAAAAAAATGCATTTTTGTATAGATTAAGTTCCAAATTGAGAAGGTCCTCAACCATCCAGCATTCTCTTCCTCTTGTTATCTGGCACTTAAGAAACAGACTTTTCATCTATCAATATTTTGAATATTCTTTTCATCCTCTTATCATTCTTCTCAATATTATAAAAACACACCCCCACCACTTCCAGACTAGATATGTTGTTCAGTCTATGCCCACAACCCTCAGCGATAATGAAACATCATGAGCCAGTCCTCCTTACTCTTTCCTCCCTGTCTATCTGTGAATTTCACTGAAACCAAAAATGGCATTCCCTTCAGGTCAGAGATTATATAAAGGCGTGTGGACTGTGAGCCTACCTACAACCTAGAAAATGGGAATGGATGCTTTTAATTACTCGTTTAGAGAAATCTTTGTCTACAAAAAGTAAACTGTGTTTACAGTAGTTTAACTTACATCATATCTCTGAAAGAAACCAGGGATCTGTAGTTTATATAAGGTTTTAAAATATACCATTAAGTGATAACATTCACTCTTCTCTCTAAGAGAACATTTTTCAGATTTCCCTAGAGGGTAGCAAGATAATCACTTTAGGTTTGTGGAGTACAGATTTCATTAAAGCAATTATGTTTGCTCTCTCTGTCACTCTGTCTACCATTTGGGTTGCAAAAAAATGAAATTTGCTTTTTTTTTCTTTTTTGAATGACATGCAGTTTTAATAGCTATGCTCCAAGAAAGTAAAGTGAAAGAATACAGAGTGAGAAAAGGGAGATGAATAACTCGCAGGAGCAGATGGTAACCCTTCCAGTCATGCTAAGTGAGGATTTTGCAAATCTAAGATTTTGTTGTCTTCCTTCTGCTATTTTATGTGATAAAAATGTTTTGCATTTTACAAATTAAGATCAAGTCTGTCTCAAACATCCCATACCTGTCTGCTTTTTTCTCCTACATAGAACTTTCCTACTCTTTTTATCATTTTCATTTCCTCCTCTTTCAATTTTAGAAAAGGTGAAAGGAAGCAAAACAAAATGTAGCGCAGTTTTGTTTCCTATTGTAAATATACTAAATAGGGTAATCTTCATACACTTTTACTAAGGGCAAAGAGGCTTACCAATGTAATATTTACCAGTCAACCACAATGAGCCTCTCTATTTTATAACCACTGTCTAATTCTTTTGTCCAGCAAGGAGAGGCAATAAGGTTATAGTCGCACGGCGGCTACCCAGACTTTGGAATGCCTTCCTTAAGGAGGCTAGGATGTCCCCTTCATGTTTTCCTCTTATTAGCATGTGTTTTCTGTTCTGTTCTATTTTCTGTTCAGACGGGCTTTTAGGAACTAACTGTAACAAGTGGGCCCTTGGTATCTACTGGAGTTTGGTTCCAGGTCCATGGATGCTAAAACTGTGTTGATGCTCAGGTTTCATTATGAACAATGGCATAGTAAAATGGTATCCCTAAGGGTATGTAAAATAATGAAATTAAGGTTTACTTTTGGGAATTTTAAAAACATTTTCAAGCCATGGATGGTTGAATTCATGGATACAAATTTGTGGATACAGGGGGCTTTTTATATAGGTTTTACTGTTGCGTCTATATGCATTTTAATCTGTATTTTAATTTTGTTGAAAGTTTGGACTAGGCCCAACATGGCCACATTCTCCCACTTCCATGGAAATCACCAGTTTTCACTACAAAAATAACTTGGGGGTGGGATAGCATGAACAAAATTATGGCAAAATCAAACTGTTATGTAAGAAAGAGCACAAAGATGTAATTGCTGCAATGAAAACTGTTGTTTCTTTATTAAACAATGTTGGAACAACTTATCACCATAAAGTGATGTTAATCATTTAATTTTAATGTACTGTTACTAACATACATAGTAATTAAGAAAAGTTTATATTTGTCTCTCCACTATTATATGTAAGCATTATAATTAAGATGAGATTCATTCAAGAACATTTATTTGAAGTGACTAAGAGAAAATCAATGCCTACGTTTTCAAATACTTCCTTAGGACAATGGACCTAACTAATGTAAGACCGCAAAGAGTCCTTAAACTGGCTTTCTTTAATAAATTATCCTCCAAGGTTTTGGATGACAATTCCGTCCATCATGAACAGTCATCAGAGATTATGGGAGCTGTAGCTGAAAAGTGCATCGTGTTGGAGAAAGCTGCCCTAAATCATGGTGAACTTGCAGGAATGTCCTTGCCACTAGTGAGTCTTCTTTGGTAGCAATGAGGAAAGAGTGTGTGACAGCCTGGGAGCAATGCCAGCCTTCCATATGGACTGTTAGGATTCCCAAGTTGATGGCTAATAGTAACACTTTCAGCAACACCCTCATGCTTTTAGATATAATCGAAGGAAATGCTCTGACACCCACAACCTTTACCCAGCAGAAAGAGTGGCTTTATCGAGCCACAGAGTGAACATTGTCAAACTCAAGCAGTAGCAGAAAGACAAGAGAAGGGATCTAGGGAGATCAGAAGGAGAGAAAAATGTTTTTGGAATGTGGAGGTGGGAAAATAAGGAGCTGGCACGTAGGACTCTGAGGAATAACACTTTTCGGCTTTTAGTCTGTGCTATTAACAGTTGCCATGTCATATTCTGAAGCAGGCCCAAGGGACTGCAGGTCTGCAGCAAGTAAGCTTTTTGTTCATGCCTCTGATGCTCACAGCATAATCCTTATGCCTGTTTACTTTATGCTCAGCCCTAAACAGGCATAGTTAAGTTTAAATCTCATTGAATTCAGTGAGCTTCATTTTCAAATAGCTGTGGTTAATGCTGGAGTTCTGTATTTACTTTTGTACAGTACAGTACAACCCTTGACTCTCTGGGATCAGTATCTGCAATTTCATTTATCAATATCCAACAAAATATGTTCCCTCTAGACATTTTCTAGGTCTTCCAACACAGAGCTATGGTATTCTTGGGCTGCATGCCCTTCCTTTCAATATGGTTTGCTATTATGTGCAATTTTTAATATCCACGAGAAGTCTGGAAATTAATATCCCATGGATACAAGGTTTGTACTGTAATGCAAAATCTCAATGGTAAAGTCCACTTAGCAATTTAGTTCTCAAACCATTGCCTCAACTAGAGATTCTTTCTGTTGGTTTTATCTTGAAGAATCTACGGTCATGCTAAACTAGCCCTGATTCAGGGTTCCATGACACTGATCCACCATGTGCTGGGCTTTTAAGCCCAATATAGTTATTTGACAATATTAAACCATATCACAGCATAATGAAAATCATGCTCACTGCAATGTCAACCCACTGCTAGTGGTTTTAGTAAAATGGTAGCAGTGACCTTTAGAGGTGACTTAAGAAACTAACAAAATGATTACTAAGAAGATTAAGAAAAACCCAGACATGTGCTTATTGGGTTCGTTTCAGGAGATAATTAACAAAGAAGATGTAGAAATTTGCCAATGTAGTTATGTGGCAGCGAGAATCATTATAGCAAAATCTGGGAAAGGGGGGGGGGCTACTTATTGAGAATTGGAGAAAAAATAGTAGAGTATATTCAAATGGGCAAAATCTCCAATGGCATAAGGGGAGGAAACAATGAAGAATTTACTAGAAAATGGAGACTGACCTTTGGGTATTGAAAAAAAGAAGATAATATAGAATTTGAAATAGCCAAGGGGGGATTTATTAATGATAAGGACAGATTTTTGTTAGATACTAGTTCCCTATGGTGTGGTGCTGGAAGTCATGGGTGGTGGTTCATGGGTGGGAATAGGGAGGTGGCGGGACAGGGGAAATAATACTTGTATTTCGTTGTTGAATCTTGAAGATTGTATATTTCTTCTTTTTCCTTATAAATCACAATAAAATTGTACAACGAAAAGTAAAATGGTACAGATGGTGCAACTAGTTATAGCAAAAAGATATTAAGTACTTAGTCTGATGGACATAATATGATGAGATATGGATCTTCCCCTTTTACTGTAAAGATCCAACTGGACATGAAATCATAGAAACTTAAAGGACACCTAATCAGAGGAAAGAGGTTCAGGAAAGGGGAATTATGGGTGAGGACTACAGGAAGGTCTTTCTTACCATAACCTAATTTGCCACAAATTCTCAGCTATGTGCATTTATCTTAGTTTAGGTAAGTTATTTTAGAAGAAAAGCATTTGGTCAGAAGTCACTGGAAGGTAAGATATGAATAGTGTCCAAAACACCTCACCTCTGCTGCAAAAGAGTACAAAAATCCTTTTTGGGGGTGGTGTACCTCTGTATTGTGTTGTGTCCCAAAATATCCCACAAGTTGCTAGTGTCAAGCCCCATAAGAGCTGATGCTACTTTGTCTTGTCAGAGGGAAGAATACATTTCACATTTCACATGGTTGCAGCTCAGAGTGCAACATTTCAAGGTGTTAGTGATGGCAATTTACACATCGCATCGCAGTAATATTTTATGAAGTATTATATTTTTGTAGTGTTCACTTTTACATGAATCAATTAAATCGCCTCTAAGTAAGAAAAGCAAAGTGATTGTTAACACCATAATTTAATTTCCATATTCCAAACTCAAACATCATATGGGAAAAGAGCTATGGTTAAATGTCTCCCCCCACACCTGCATCCCATTCCTCTTCTGACTCTGCTTGAACACCTCAGCAGCATTTCAACCTTGCATCACACACACAGAGAGACACACACACACACTTTGCTTTCTCCCAGCAATTAGTGCTAGAGCAAATGCTTTGTAAGCAGAACTTCTCTTACCTCATGTTCTCCTTGCGGTGAACTGTCACATACATTTCATAGACTCTCCCCTGGGGAACGGCTCCAGCAGGAATCAGCAAACTTACTCCTGCAAAACAACAACAACAGTAAGGCAGAAGCAGAGAAAAGACTGCAAAACAGCCTGTAAAGATGCAGCTAAGCATACCAACAATCTCACCCAAACCATATAATGTGCCTCCTCCTGCTCCTGGTGTTTAAGCCTGGCATTACTTACCAGAGCCTCCTGGCCTTCTCTTCTACATTTTCCCCAACCTGTTTGTTTTATTTAAGGAACAAGCAAATGGCTGTTCTGCTCCTTTTATTGTACAAATTGTGGGAGAGTGGCAAACTGTATTTCCTTTTCTATACAACATTGAGAGTTAACATAGTGTGGTGGTTTGAGCATCACTCTGGAGACAAGGGTTTAAATACCTGCTCAGCCATGGAAACCCACAGAGTGTCTTTGGCCTTACTAAGTCACTCTCTTTCAGCCTCAGAGGAAGGTAAAAACAAATTTGCTTTTAACAAACTTTGCTAAGAAAGCCCACAATAATGTGTCATAAGTCAGAAACAGCTTGAAGACATGCTACAGCAATAATTCTAAACAACAGTAATTGGATTGTTTCTCTTTTCATGTCTTACATAAAGAAACTGAGTAAGGGACCAGAATTGTACTATGAAATAGCAAGTACTCCTCACCCTTATCAACCCTAGCCCAAAGATTGTACTATGTGTGTTGTACTATTATTACTATGACTCTAGAGACCAGAATTCATATGTTCAATTATCCATGGAGACCCACTGGATGTCCTTGGACAAGTCACACTCTCTTGACCTCTGAGGCAGGCAAAGGAAAACCTCCACTGAACCAGACTTGCCAAGGAAGCCCAGAAGTAAGTTCGTCTTAGGGTCACTATAAGTCATAAATGACAACAATAGAGAGGGAGGGTTATGCTTCATTCATATGATCTGAGAATTAGGATACAACACAGATTACAACTGTGAAAAAAAGGTAGCCAGCCATGGAAGTAAAGTATATTTTCTGCATGTACTAAGGCTGGAATAACAGAGATTAAAAATTAAGAATGCACTTAACTAGATCTAGAGGCTATATTCTCTAGAGAGGGGCTTTTGGAGATATATATGAAATTGCTTCTGAGAGGATGGAATAGGAAATATTCATTCTACACAATTTACTGAGTTAACCTATCTTAGAAAGCGTGCCTCTTCAGGGTGCCAGTATGTCAGCCTTCCACAACTGGAGTCTGGTCAGGCAAGGACAACCATGCCCCAACTGGGTATACCATGTTGGGGATCTATTGCATGATACACTTGCATTGTAATGTTTTCTGTAACTATAATTGGCAATTCTCTCTTTTTCGCTCTCTTTCTCGCTGTGGTGCATGTGAGAGAGAATGTGAATGAGTGGGTCCACATGGCTGGCACTAGCATTAGATAGGAATAAAATTCTAGGAGTCACAGAAAGGATTCTATTTTGTTTTTTGTTTTTACTTAGTTCTTTTTGTGTTTGTCCTGCCACAGGTAATGAAAGGTCTTTGGGGATTTTCCATTCTATATTTCAAAATAATTTAGCAGGTTTCTGCTACAAAGTCACAGCATCAGATTTAACTAACTAAGGTTGGATGGGCCCAACCAAATGACACTTCCACATTGTCAACTGTACATTTTACTGAGATTCCTATAAATTATAGTACCTCGTGTAAAAAGAAACCAAATGGCTGAACTTAATTGTGTAACATGCTGTGGAGGGAATTTCTCCAGGTGATGTGGAATGTTGTTTGGGGTGGCCTGGTGTTTGTTTTGAGGAGCTTACCTGCAGTTAATGCGTTAATAATTGCTGACTGTGATCATTAAGCATTTATGTATTTTGTGCAAAAACAAGACTAGCAACTGATGATGTACCTTGAAGAAGAGCATTTCCTGACAATGGAGATTTGCGATATTGGGTTTCATAACTCATGTTTTGTGTTACTGGGTCAAATAAACTATAAAGGCTATTCATAGAGCATTTTGTTAGACAAAGAAATAAAGTGCTGGACACCACATCAGTTTTTTAAAAAATGACAGAGTAATAACTGCAAGATCAACACTCATTTTTCCCTACTGCTAAGGTAAAATCTTATAAAAAATAACATTCAATCATATTCAGTACACTTTGTGCCAATTTTGGATCTTTGTTTGTGTGTTATTTCAATATTTGGTGGGTGGGTGGTTCTTATTTGCTGTTCTCATTCAGGTAGAAAAGTGCCAGACCAGTCACGTATATGTGCATGCTTGCATCATGACATCACATCTTGATTTAAGACATGTGGGAATTCCCAGAGGTGCAGATATAAGAGCATATCTTGGTTGTCTTCATGCAATTTGGTTGCTTGCCTTGGGATGCAATCCCTTCCACCAAATGGAGTTGTTTTAGAACAGTATGAACATGCTTCATGGATCAGAGGGCTATTTTATGTGATCTCTTTGTAGACTCCAGTGGCACAGTGAAAATGGCATTTTGAGTGACCTGAACTAACTTTTTAACACTACAGAGGATAGTTTGGGCTGGTTGTTGAGTGCTTTTACTGGCTCTTCGTTGCTGGTTTGAGGGGCAAAATGGGTCAACTGAAGTCAATGCTTGGCAGATAAGTTGGGAGCAAATCTTTTCAGCTATTTGTTTCTATTAAAAATGTCCATATGGAGAGAACATGGAAGGGTTGCAGTAGGAATAAAGACCAAAAGAGAAATACTAAAGAGAAATAGTTTCATGTGACCCATAGGCCACCCAATTTCTTCCCCAGCTTTAGAACATAAAGTACATCTTCCAGTTGTCCCAATTATGCAAAATGAGGCCTGATTACTCCTCTCCTGTCCTAAGTTCTTAGTGGCTTCTAATAGTACCTATGTTCTGTCTGCTCCTCCTACTTTCTCCCTTTGTCCTTAGAGTAAAGTGGAAAAGTCTTTTGCACTGAATTAACCCAATAGGGGAGAGAGGAGATGGAAATCTTGCCTCTTCCAGTAGACTCAAGAGCAAAAGTTTCCTAGTTTGTCTATTCTTCCTCATTAATAACTATTCCCATCTTGACCATACTATCAGCAGTGAGTCCTGATTTTTTCCCCAAAATGCTGGAGGGTATGCCCACAGAAAGGGTTATTATCATTTTTAAAAGATCTTTGTGTTTCTTCTATTTTTTCCTGAACACCCAACACTGCATAATTGCTTTTTAATAAATACACCAAAAATCCAAAGAGTTAAATGTCAAGAAATCAGTGTTTTGCAGTGGAATCTAGGGCAAGGAAAAGAAAAAAAATCTGTTACATCCTAAACATGTTTCTTTCTCAGCACACTTATAAGAAGCAAATTGGAATTTGGAACAACTGATTTGTTTTCTAATTAATTTGTCCCTTTTATGTCAAGGCAGTAAAGGATTCTGCCTTGAAGCTGGGCATTTTCTTTTTCTCACCCTTTCTCTTTTGGTGATACATGAAAGAAAAGGTCAAGGGTTCCTAATCCCACTACACAAGAAAGTTGGGAGGTCTAATGCATCTGCAGGCAACGACTCAGAACTTTGTAATTTTCTGCTAAGGAAGGCCAGGGCTTTGGGGAAAGAATATGTGTAATACTTGGGTAAACCCAAATGGGAGAAAAGCTATTCTTCAGTCTAAACATAGAAGATATACATTTCCAAAAATGACCTACATTTTTCTGCTTTTTTAAAACTGAGAAAATAATAGAAGACTTTTTTTGGAAACAGCAAAAGATGTGTGCATAAATGTTTACCTGAATTAGGAACAATCAGATGGCCACCAAGGGAGTTGAAGGTGCCAAAAGCCGTGCATGATGGATCTGTCTGCCGTGCAAGACTCTGGTTTTTGATGTTTAATGCTTCATTCTCCAGCAAGGACTGAGTGATCTGTGGGGAGAGTTTGGATGAAAAGTCGGAGAGCTCGTCCTGTGGAGTAACTGAACCTGAATTGTTGTAGACCTTGATCTTCAAGTTGGGCAGTGGATCAAGAATTGGAGAGTTGGTCATTGGAATTTTATCAGAAACGTCATGCAAGGCATAGACGGGCCCTCTGTACATGGCTGCAGCCGAGGTGAGGTCCGGAGGCACAGCTAGGAGATCTGCATTCCAAGCAAAAAGATGTCAAATAAAAAAATATTTAGCATAAGCTATATTCTTTACCATTTAAAACATCATTTAGGATAAAAGAAAAATGTAGTGATCTAAATGGCAGCTGAAAGTCAGAAAAAAAGGACCTGTTTTGCTTGTCATGTCTGATGTGAAGGGATTTCAGAGTCTTTGCTACATTGTTTTACTCATCCTAAATATAATAAAAGGGTGGTTCCTAAATTTTGGGTTTTCAGATGTTTTGGACTCCCAGAAGCTCCATTTCTAGAAGTAGCAAAGTTTGAGAATCACTGACCTAAAGGCACCAGACCCCATGTCATCATGAAAGCTAGTTAGGATCAGCCTTGGTTAATTCTTGGATGGAAAAACAACAATTACCAGATGCTAAAGGCGATATTTGAGAGGAGGGAACTGGCAAAACTACCTCTGAGTAATTATGCCTGAGAAAAGGGTGAAGTACCCATCATCCTCAAAATGTACTAAGTCCTCAACTTCCATCATCCTTGACCATTGACTATGCCAGGTGATGGGAGCAGAAGTCCAATAATGTCTGGAGAGTTTCCCACCCTTGTTCTAATGAAGTGGACTACTAAAGCTATTTTGTAAATGTCAAATTATATAAATCAAGAAAAAGAAACATTTCATCCACAAACAAATCAAAATAATGAAGAATCTCTTCCTTTCTGATATGTTTATTAAAACAACAACAAATTCTGCATACATACAAAACTATAGAAGGCATGAGATGAGACCCTTCTACAAGTTTAATGAATGATGCATTTTATTATTTTTAAAAATAATAATAATATTTGCGTACAAATATAATAATAACCCTGAAGTTCAGTACTGAAAGAATCTCATGAATTACAGTTTGAACTTTCAGATTTAGACACTAAAGTTTGCAAACTTACCTCTCCTGCACAACTATCAAAAATGGGTTTTTATGCCTAAAATAACTAAAATGTAAAGTGTGAAAGTCCTAGTCTTTGCCATGAATATTTGCTTACTTTCTCTCTGGATCCAAATTGCTCTTCCACAGACATTTAAATCCATTTTTTAAAATAGCTAAAGTTGCAGAGCTTTTGCTATGTTGGCATTTTGTCATGTTATATGTTATCTGTATAGCACAAAAATATATACACTAGCAAGTTTAAATAACAACTACAACAGAGCAATAAGTCACAACTGGGCTGCAAAAGTGATGGGCAGAGCACAACAATTAACACTTAATCATGACAGCTGCAGTCAAATACAAGTGCTCTATAGAATACATTTTTCTTTGGCATATTTTTTGCAAAATGCTGACTGCAGAACATCAATCTGTGCGATCAAAGGAAAGAGAAAAAGAAAACACAGAATTGTAAACAACTATGAAATCATATATTTTATCATTCCTATTCAGAGCTGAATTGTTGCCTGTGGCATATCCTTCAATGCCTTCTGCAGGAGTGATTTTAATGAATTCTTGGCAAGCAAATCGCAGCTTTGCTAATCTTTTGCATTGGACAAAACTATGAGTGTATTTTCCTCCAAATTGATGTAACTTTAATTTCCAAAATAGTGCTTCATTTTTAAATGCATCCCTAAAGTCTACTTTGGATCATATAGTCATTCTTGGTTTCTATGCCTTCATTTTCTGATGGATCAGAGCCACAAACATTGAATAGATACCTGAAGGGTCAGTTTATGCAATCAGTAAAATCATGTCCTATTCCTTTATCATTTTATCACAAACATATAGAAACATATCTTGAACAAACATAATTCACTTGAACCTGAAAAGATCAATTTGTTTGCTTGTTTGGTTAGTTGCACACTGCAAGTCACTTCTGGTGTGAAAGAATCAGCCATCCACAAAGATGTTGCCTAGAGGACACCCGGATGTGTTACCATCTTGCGGGGAGTGTTCTCTTATGAATGGTTTGTCTCAGGGGAGTGTGCTTGCTCCATCAATGGTCAACATTTACACAAATTACCAGACAATGCCAGAAAGGACAGAGAGTTTCATCTATGCTGATAATCTTGCCATCATCGCTCAAGCAGGGAGCTTTGAAAAGATCAAACAGAAGCTCTCCAAAGCTTCTGTTTGGAGAGCTTCTGATTCCTAATACATCTAAAACACGGACATGTGCTTTTTACTTTAAGAACAGACAAGCATCTCAAGCTCTGAGGGTTACCTGGGGAGGAATCCCACTGTAGCATTCCAGCACACCAAAATACCTGGGAGTCATTCTGGACTGTGCTCTGATTTACAAGAAGCACTGCCTGACTATCAAGCAAAAAGTGGGTACTAAAAATAATATCATACAAAAGCTGACTGGCACAACCTGGGGATCACAACCAGATACAGTGAAGATATATGCCCTTGTGCTTTGCTACTCTTCTGCTGAATATGCATGCCCAAGTGTGGAATACACCTCACCACATTAAAACAGTGGACATGGCTCTTAATGAGACATGACACGTTTTCACAGGATGTCTACATCCTAGACCGCTGGAGAAATTATACTGTTTAGCCGGAATTGCACCACCTGACATCCGTCGGGAAGTAGCAGCCAGTAAAGAAAAGACCAAGGCATTGACATCTCTGGCCCACCCTCTGTTCAGATATCAGCCAGCAATCCAATGCCTTAAATCAAGAAATAGCTTTCTAAGATCTATGGAGGTACCCATAGATACTCGTAGAACACCCCAACAAAAGTTAGAGTCCAAAAGTGGCAGGCTAAAACCTCAATCAGTGGCTGATACCAGATGAGAAACTCCCCCCTGAGCACACAAAAGACTGGGCAACTTGGAAGGCACTGAATACACTGGCTCTGCATCACAAGATGCAGAGCCAACCTTAAGAAATGGGGCTACAAAGTAGAGTCTACGACATAAGAGTGTGGAGAAGAGCAAACCACAGACTACTTACTACAATGCAGTCTGAGCCCTGTCACATGCACAATGGAGGACCTTCTTACAGCGACACCAGAGGCACTCCAAGTGGCCAGCTTCTGGTCAAAGGAAATTTAATATAATGCCAAGTTTTAACTTTGATTGTGATTTCTTTTTAATACATTATAACTGTATTCTCAATTTGCTTCTGACATGATAAATAAATACCTGAACCTGTGGGTGTTTCTGTATAGCATCTTCTTGAATTTGGTCAGTGTTGAACAGAAACTAACCTTGCCTTGCAGCTTTGATATTAACAGGTTGAAAACCACCATTTAGTGCTGAGGAATCTATAATGTCTGACTCAAAGTCCCGATGGTTCTTCCGGTAGATGAACAGTGCAACGATTACTGAAATAGCCAGGCACACAATGACAGCTATCACAATGCCGACATAAAGAGCGACATCATCTGAGTCAGGAGCAGCTAGAAAAAAGATAGCACAAAGTTATCAGGAATTTTCAGAAGTATATAATATTAATATCAGTTCCTACAAAATGCAAAATGTTCTTGTAGCCCCTTAGACTTAGGGTGCTGTAGAATTAATACAGCTTGATATTATTTTAACCACCATAGCTCAATGCTGTGGAAACATAAGTATAGTTTTAAAAGACCTGTAGCCTTCTCTGCCAAAGAGTGTTGATGTTTCAACAAACTACAGCTTCCATGATTCCAAAGCATTGAATTATGACACTTAAGTTGGCATCAAGCTGCATTAATTCTACAGTGAGGATGCACCCTGAAATACTGAGGTTGTTAGCATAGGCATTTATAGACCAAAACTACTTCCTGAAATGCATCAAATAAAGTGCTTATAACAGATTGTGTGTGTGAATATCCATAGTAATGGAAATTGGTGGTTATGGATATGGAGTGATATGGAGTGACTAGTTCACTAGTTCACTTTTAAAGATGGCAATTAAGAGACAAATACAGGAGGGAAGATGTTGCCGAAGGGCAAGATGAGTAGATAACCATATGAATAGTGGAAGGGGTTATTGGGATGTACTGTGATGCTCCCTGGGAACCAAAAAGAAGATGTGATAAACTGGCCAAGGGACCACTCATGAAGTTGGGGTGCTAATTAGTGTTGTAATACCTGTGGTCTCTGTTAAACCCACTGTTACTGGACTGGAGTTTATAGATATATTCCACTTATTCTCTTTCCAATCTTCCTTTGTAGTTTTTTGTTAGTTTTTTTTTTGTTCAGGGATGGTTGTTCTGAGGTCAGAGATGAAATACCCAGGCAGATTGAGGTGTTCTGCAATAATTTTTGTGTATTCCCACTCCTAATATCTGATTTATGTCCATTTCTCATCTGCTTCAGAGACCACATTGTTCAGCCAGTTTAGATATTCTGAAAGGCATTGTTGTCAGAAGATGGTATATATCACATTAGAGAATGACCAAGTGAAGACACCTCTAATACTGACTGTGATGTGAATAGGTCCTGTGATGGCATTTCTGATGTATATGTGTGGACAAAGTTGGCATTTGGGTTTGCTGCAAGGTCTTGTACTCATTTCTGCACCCCTGTTGTGTGCCCTGCTGAAGGTAAGTAATTATTTGATATTGGGAAACTGTCTGACACCAAGCGCATTTGAGAGAGCAATATTACTGTCCGAATAGGTGAAAGTTAATCTACTTGAGAAATGTCATTATAGGTCCTAATCACATAACTCAAAATTGTGACCATCAATGTGTGTAGGGTGTATATATCATAAACAAACAAACAAATGCAAGGGCAATCTTGTCTGCTCTATAATTGGCATACCGTAATCATTTTTGTGGTTAACTCAGTAGCTCCTTTTTGGATTTTGGTAACATAAATCACAAGGAAAAGTAGCTTTGGAGTTGAAAGCTCCCAATTCTGGTGTGCTAAAGTTATAACTGGCTATTATAATCCTTGTAACAGGCTGGAAGCCCTTGTGATCTGTCATAGTGTAACACACTTTTTTTTTAAAAAAATTTTTTTTGCCTGAACATCATCTTTACTCCCAATAAAAAGTTAAAAAATGTTCAGCTCATGTTATTTGAAAGCAATTTTGAAGTAAAGTCCTCTGTATCGATGCTACTCATAGTTGTGGCTCCTAAACCACTGCAAACCTTTCAACATTTTATAGAAAAAGGACACATATAACTAAGCAACATCAGAGTGTTGTCAAGATGGCAAACATTATTAACAAGAAAGATTACACAAGCTAAAAGGGCGATAGAAGTTTGCTTTTTCATGGGCCTATTGGGAATGTCACCAGTCTGCTAGTCGTCTTTCCCATCCCATACTAGGCCAATTGAGTAAAAACTGTTCTATACTTTGAACTCAATTTCCAGCATTGGAGGAAGCTGAGGACATGAGTAGAATGTGGGAAGATGAGAGAGAAATTTGAACATTTTTAAGCCAGCTGAAAAAAGTAGGATAGCAGAGGATTAGTTAGGACTGTCCATGCCACAATGGGAGAGTGGAGGGTATGCCATTGCTGGTTCCTCCCTGGGTCATTGGCTATCAAACACTGACAGGTTTCCAGGGGAAAGAAAGAAGCAATTGCAGCCAGTAGGCTAGTTCCTGGAGCAATTGAGAGGAGGGTGTGTGTGCCAGACCCCCCAAAACAATCCTCTACCTCCATATGCAAATAGACAGCATTCAAGAAGTCTGCCATCTCTCAAGCAAGGAAACCCTACAGGAACTGAGCAAGAACATAAGCAAAGCTAAGTAATGTTTCTTTCCCTTTGAATGTAGTCTGACAGACACAATCCAGCCAGCCTGGATTGAAGATAAACAAAAGAAGTGGCATCAACAACACAAAATGAAATGTCAACATGCTTTGAATAACTTACTAGACTTGAGCCTTGAGATGAAGTAAGAGTTATATTCACACAAAAGAGAACTAGGGGATGGTCTCCCTTCTGTGCCTGACCATGAATTGAGTCCAGTGTTAAAAGCACTTTCCCAAATACCTTGGCCTCTGAAGCAAGATATGTGACAACCTTTGAAAGGATCATTTTTTATCCTTTTGTGTCCTTATTTTTTATTTAGCCTTCTTTTTCCAGGACAAAGATACAATAAAACACATCCCAATAAAAAAAACATGATACATTTCACAAACACTAAATCAATTGTACTGTTGGAAGTGCAATTTAAAGACCACACTAATAATAAATACGTAAAATTATAAATACATCTATTTTAAAGGTCCAACACATTAATTTTACTATCTTTAGATGTTTCTTCACTTTAGTTTTTGCAGCATCAAAGTCCTTCCTTAAAGGAAATCTAGGCCACATATTATATCAAATGCTCATTTTTGAGCTCTCTTATGATGTTTTGTTATTCTGGCATTTTCATTCAGTAATTTTGATTCTATAACAAAGGAATATTAAGTCCACTGTAAGATGCTTTTAACTTTTGCTTTTGCTTTGGTCTTTACCAATGGGCATCATAAATCAAACAGTACAAGTATACAAACAAATAATGCACAGAAACATATTTTGAAGGTCCAAAGTGCTTCACATGAACTCTTATTCTCACTTGGGGAACCAAAAGTCTTTCAGATGTTTTGAATTACAGTTTTCATAATCCCCCACCATTAAACATGCTAGTAGGGTCTTTCATGATCTGGAGTCCAAAATATTTCAGAGTGACAGAAGCCCTAGTCCAGTGTTGTCCAACCATTGGTACTTCTGGTATTTGGAACTCCAACTCCCAGCAGCCCTGGCCAACATGTCTAATAGTCAGGAATTCTGGGAAATGAAGTCCAAAACACCTGGAAGACCAAAGGTTTGACACCACTGCCAAAGTCTTTCAAGAATTCCATTAAATAGGCCAAATATTAGTATTTCCATATTCCAGATATTAAACTGAGAAATGTGAGCTTTCCCATTCAACCTTTTCTACCTTATTCACTTAGTTCTATCTGTTCTCTGGTTTCAGCAGAGACTAGAATTATATAAAATATCACAAGCAAGACAGAGTTTTCTGTAGTTCTCCTGTGGGAACAGGGCCAACTTGAGAGACTTTGTGCTGTCTGCTTGTAACACATCTCCTTCACTAATCCCAGTGTAATACTTAATGCCACTCTTCTCCCTGCTGCCATCTCCCTGGATATCCTTCCAAAAGGTTTGATTACGTGATGTGAAACTTGATGCAGACTTTTGGTGTTAGAAAAAGAAATCCTATCATTATTATTTTTAAGCAGGCTGAGATTAGACAATGTAAATATATCAGTATCTTTTTTTTACTTTCTGCCTACAGAGAGCATTAAAAATCCTAATCTTTTCAATGTTTTGTTCTCTACTTTCTTTAATTCCCAGTGGTGCAGCTAAAAACAGAGAGGAGTCCAAAAGGGAACGATCAAGTTCAATCTACTCTGCAGTAATGGAATTTATAGGCTCCATTTTGCTATTTTTTGTATACTACCTGTCCGTCAGTGGATAGCTCATAGGAAGATGGAAGCAAAATAAACCAGGAAACTAGTTCATCTTGCTCTCTTCCCTTTCTGCAACCAAACCAAAAATCTGCAATCATTTTGTGTTTCCAAGTTTCCTACTTTGGCTGAGGATCTAAATACCCTAGTCTTCTCCAGTTCTTACTTTTGCCTGGTTTCCTGACTATCCCCTCTTTTGGCCCATTATCTACACCATTTCCCTTATAGGCAATTTCATTAAAGCAAGCAAAGAACAACTCCCTCTGGATGCAGAACTTCTCTTCTCAGTGCACATAGAACTAGACAGAAAGTAAATCTTGGACCAGGAAATTAGCATCCAAGAACATAATATCAAACAGGACTTACAAGAAAATCCATATTCATTCTGTGTTCTCTGTTCAGTTGACATAGGGTAAATGAAACCTTTAAAAGAAAAAAAAAGATGGGAACAAAATCAAATTAATGAAGGGAGCTTTAAAAAAACATACACACATACATGAAGAATGGTTTAATTTAAAAGGAGAAAAAAGGAAAGCGAAACAAAACCTATGGTACTTAAAAATTCTGATTCAGCACAGTATTATAATTTTGCATCTCCTGTCTGCTCAGGAGTCTCACTAAGAATTAGTAAGTAGGCAGATTGAATTTCAGAGCCAAAAATCGGTCTCGAGTCACTAACTTTGGAGTGCTTAAAGTCTTTCTTTTATTGAGCATAAACTCTAATGGATCTAATTTATTTCAGACATCAAGGGTCATTAGCATATGGAAAGTCTTCTTCCCTCCAATCTTTACCATATGCTTTAATTCCCAGGACGTGTTCGGCAAGGCTCTAAACAGGAGGATTTTTTTATTTAATTATAGTAGCTAGCTGTTGGACTAATAGAACAGAAAAGGGTTTGGCGTCATTGGTCAGAGGTTAAATGCCCATTTACTGAGAGCTCAACCCATGCAAAAGGCTTATTGCTCCACCTTCCCTTTCTCCTAGATTTCTGTGGGAATGGTTTTAACCTTCTCTTTAATAGAAATCCAATAGGAATTCTCTAGGGAGCAAGCAATTTGCCAGAGAGTTGAAAATGGAATGTGTTCTATTTGAGATCATTAGAAAATCAATAGGAGCCTTGAGATCATAGAGTAATTTATTTTAGATTGTGAAGGCTTTGCGCAATATTGACAAAATCATAACACGATTCACATTTTTTATTTTAGAGACAGATAGAAATAAAAGAGACTTTGTTCCTGATTTCCAGTATAATGCAGTGCATTAGCTCATTTAGTAACTCATGTGATGCAGAAAACATCTGTTTCTTTGGTTTATGCCAATAGAGAGACATGCTTGCCTGAAAAAGAGCTGTCACTCAGCACATCTGCACTTACTTCCAAATAATAATTTATGCATCTAGGGAAGCAGAAGAATAGAAGCTGACCCACTGGATCAAGAACACTGCCTGAAATGAATTTCACCCTCTTATGCTTGAATGAATTGTATCTGGGCAAACAACAACAGTGATGAGTGGTTGTCATTGAAGGTCACTGAACATGGACAGGTGAAAAATGGAATACTGGTTCTGTATACAACTCAAAAATGAAATGACAAAGCAATGAAATGATGAAACAATAAATAACAAGCTGTGGATGTTTGTGCAACACAAAGAAATGGCAGAAGACCTCTTTTATCTTACAACTGAAAGATTTTTACCCTCTCAGCCTTTATACTCTCCTTAATTATTGTTTTCATGAGTCCCCTGAAGTTGTGTGGAGTCCTATGATCCCATCAGACAGGGCAATTTTCTGTTATATGCTGATTGCTCTCTCCTTTTGCCACAGAGCTCATTACACATTGCACATCTTCTAGCCTGGTTCCATGGTGAAACTAGAGAGCAAGCGGCATATGCCACCATCATGCCAGCACAGGAGGCTTCCTGTGTTGCCTTTGAAACAATGGAGAAGAAACCAGGTGCTGGACACTTCCCCCATGGGATAAAGCCAGCTGTAAGTCAGGGTTCTCCATGCTGGGAGCCCATAGATTCACCATGATATGTGGTGAATCCATATGCCAATGTGATAAGGTCCTTAGTAGGAGAATGGAGGAAATAGGAGAAAAGTAGAACCTGCTTGGCTCATATGGAAATGCATTTCCTTGTGAGACCTTTCCTTCAGAGAGTCTTTGGTGGGAAGAGACTGAGAGGTCCAGGAAATTCCCCTGGAGCATGTTATTTGGGAATACATGTGCCTGATGGGCAGAGTTTGGGGTGCAGAAATATGCCAGAATCCTGTTGCCATTTATACTGCTGTAACCTTATTTACCCCAACATGATTTTTTTTCATAGATGTTGATCAAATTATTATCTAGTATCTCCTTGGACAATACCACTGATGCAGGTACACAAGGGCACCAAATAGTTCCTAGATGCAGCTCTATTCCCTGGGAGCTGACTAGTTGGGGGCAGAAGCAGCCAGGCACCATCACTTTTGCCCTTGCCGAGCTAAGAAAGAAGGAATAGACTTCACTCTTGTTCATCAAGGACAGCACCTGCTCTTCTCCCTTCTCCTATTTCCTCTATCAAGAGCAATAGATAGGCCCTGAACTAGAGGGCAAAGCAAGCATTCACCTCAGCCACCACCATTTTTCTCACACAACAATATACACAGTAAGATCTGCCACTCATTTCTTTTTTTCTCCCTTTCCTTCCAATACATGAACACAAATACAGCCTTCCTGCCACTCAGACTATACAGTCACATTAGCATCACAGTTTTATCTCTATTCAGAGAGGCATAGCTGCATCTCTATCCCATTATGTCAGACTTCCCAACTGGAAAGAGCAGAGGAACTCACTGATTAATATCTTCTTCTCCTTTTCCAAGAGCCAAGTATGTTGGCTGGGGCAGGAACACAATTCATATAGAAAGTTTTGGCACTTTGTGATGAATCAGCCAGCTCTCCTCTCCACCTAAATTGTATTTTTACAGCTCAGCAAACTGCTTTATGGTGAGTTGGGAGAGCATGATTGCAATAGAAAGGCTAATACATGAAGAGGGTCATCACTATGTGTTACCTTCTCCACCACAAGCTCCTATACTTTGGGAGGAAAGAGTATGTTTTAGCAATGGTGGAAGCATATTTTGGTGGTGATAGGGGGTTTCCACAGGAAAGGAAGGAAAGATTTGCAGGCAGCCTACATATTGCAGGCATGTGGACTGCCTTTGGGAAGTGGCTATTTTCAATTGTCATAGTCACATATGTGATTTTGAACCACTCAGAAGTAATTAGTCAAGGAGGGATCACACAATGCAAGTACTTGTGCGATGGGACTGTGAGACAGGGGAACGAAAGCACAAACTACTGTCAGTATTGGCAAACTACAGCTTTGTAGCATGGAATGATTAGTACAAATGCTAACCAAAACATCAGTTTATGGGGTTCGTGCATAACACAGATGTTTTGTGGGATCGAAAATGTTCAAAAATGTGAATCTGCATCTTCTACATAAACACTCCTGAGGATGGAAGGGGTGCTCACTTTAAATCAAAGACTTTACACCTTTCTGAAATGCCTTTTAATTCTGATTTTTAATAGGATAGGGAGTGGCAAGGAAAATATTTGTGGGACACAGGCAATTAGCAATTGATGTCTGTTTCTTCACATGATGTAAGCTGGCCACTTCTTTAGAAAGTTGTTTCCCCCGCCATTCTTGTCTATCTGATCTTTCTTATAATAAGAAAGGACATTTTCTTCAGATAATGAGGCAAATCTGCTGAGATTAGTACCTGTAATAATGAAAAATGACTTTCCTCCCAGCTTCAAAGTGAGAGCAAAGCAAAGCAGGGATTTGTTCTCCTTCTTCCTTGATCTATTTTGCTCCTAGTATCAGCACTGCTGCATGGTAAGTACCTGAGGGACTTCAACTATCTCTACCATATTTCTTTGCTAGGGTAAATGTATTAAAAAGTGCCTCCGAATTTGACTCCACAATAGTTGCAGGCACGGCTAAAGGGTGCCTTGAGCAGCTGGTGTCATAGTCAGTAACTTGCTTTGAAACAAAAAAAGTAATTTAAGATGCCTCGAGTGGCTTTTGATGAAACAACCAAAATATTTTCAAAGGTTCTAGTGGTGTTTGTTAACTCCTTGTGTGTTTACTGCAAAAGGAGTTACACTGGCATTAGTTCAACACTTAGGTATGTTCTTGCATTTAAATGAACATTTCACAACATTCAGAGTGATGGGAATTAATTATTCCTGTTTTTGAGGAGAAAAACTAGGGCAAACTTAGATTTTAGGCTTTGTTGAAACTTCAGTTACCATTTATTCCTCACCCTCCTGATACTGACTTAAAAAACCCCATTTCCTCAGTATCAACACTTTTCCTCCTTTCTATTTCAAACTTTGTAATGTTAGTTACATCTACAATTACTGAAATAATCTGGAGCTGTTCTGGATGCAGTACATGAAAACCCTGAAATCCCTTTGGTGTCTAGATGGCTAGCAAGGATGAGAGTGTTTTGGGGCCCTGCCATTGTTTCACCAACCAAAAATAGCTACCTGGCAGAGCCTTGTTGGTGACACTGCTTCAACAAGGCACACAGCCAGCAAGGTTCTTCTTGGGAGCTGTTTCTAAACAGTGAAACAATGCTGGGTCTGTTTGAGGTGTGCTCACTGGATGGTCCATATTCAGAATAAATTATGGTTCTCTTCTTGCACTGGTTTAATAATTAGAAGCAGTGATTCTGCCACAAAGCCATGTGTACTCCTCACAGCAGTTGCAAGGTGAGGCTGTTTTATTTGGCCCCGTATAGACATGACTCCTGGAAGCTTGTAAAGAAGTATCACAATGAACAAAGAATAGAAGGGGGATAGTTTTGTTGTGTGCATGTCAGTTGCAAAGATACCTCATGACTAGTTTGGCTCTTGTACATGGCCCATAATCTTATGGGGGGCGGGACTGAACTCCTCCTTGATGAGACCACATTGGTGCCTTCAAGATGAACAAAAATAGGACCAAGATACAGCAGTGAAATCTGGTCAGGGGGAAAAATTGAACATATTACCACTATTTAAAAAGGATAGTGAAAAGTAAGGGTATACCACTATCCTTACAGCCACAAGGATTACACATATGCAAGTGAGAAAAACTCTTGAAGGAGGGACACAGCTAGAGTGGGAATCAAGTAACCACTCCATGTTGCTGACTGTACCTCCCAGCATTTGTGGCCTAAGGTCCCTTTCAAATAATTATAATTCTACTTTAAATGCTATGATAACATCCTCTGTAATCCTAGGATCTGCACTTGATTGTGAGGTATTTTGAACACTCAGCCAGAGAGCTCTAGTGGCTCATTAAACTTTTTATCATTTCATGGTGGGAAAAAGCCCTTGTGCTCTTGGCAGCTGCACTCTGATACCATCTGTAGGGTTACACAATTCC